GGAGCACTCTGGCTGCACTTCATCCAACACAGATCTGTTGGTTCTATGGGCAGCCCATGGCACTTTCAATATTCTCCCCCAACACCATAATTCAAAAGCATCAATTCTTCTATGGTCTTCTTTATTCACTGTCCAGCTTTCACATGCATATGAGGTTATTGAAAATACTATGACTTGGGTCAGGCACACTGTAGTCCTCAGACTGACATCATTGCTTTTCAACACTTTAAAAAGTTCTTGTGCAGCAGATTTGCCTAATGCAATACGTCATTTGATTTCTTAACTGCTGCTTCCATGAGTGTTGATAGGTGATACAAGAAAAATGAAGTCCTTGACAACTTCAATCTTTTCTCCCTTGATAAGAATGTTGTTTATTAGTCTGGTGGTGAGGATTTTTGTTTTCTTTACATTGAAATGCAATCCTGTATATAGACCAAGAGTCAGTTGTTTGAATAGAACAGGGGAACACTGATTGGTTTAAAATTAGGAAAGATGTGTGTCAGGGTTATATTCTTTCACCACACTTATTTAATCTATATGCTGAGCAAATAACCTGAGAAACTTGATTATATGAAGAAAAACGTGGCGTTAAGATTGGAGGAAGACTCATTAACCACCTGTGATGTGCAGATGATACAATCTTGCTTGCTGAAAGTGAAGAGGACTTAAAATACTTACTGATGAAGATCAAAGACCACAGCCTTCAGTATGGGTTGAACGTCAATGTAAAGAATACAAAATCCTCACCACTGGACCAATAAACAACATCCATATAAGAAAAGATTAAAGTTGTCAGACTTCATTTTGCTCAGATCAGCCATCAACACTCATGGAAGCAGCAGTCAAGAAATCAAACAATGCATTGCATTAGGTAATCTGCTGCACAAGACCTCTCTAAAGTGTTGAAGAGCAAAGACGTCAATTTGAGGACCAAGGTGCGCCTGACCCAAGCCATGGTATTTTCAGTCACCTCATATACATGTGAAAATTGGGCAGTGAATAAGGAAGACCATAGAAGAATTGATGTATTTGGGTTACGGTGTTAAATGAGAATATTGAAAGTACCATGGACTGCCAAAAGAAAAAACAAATCTATGCTGGAAGAAATACAGCCAGAATGCTCCTTGGAAGCCAGGATGGCCAGACTTCATTGCTCATACTTTGGACATAGTATCAGGACGGACCAGTCCCTAGAGAACGATGTCATGTTTGGTAAAGTGGAGGGTTGGAGAAAAAGAGGAAGACCTCCAACGAGATGGATTGACATGGTGGCAGCAGCAATGGGCTTAGGCATATCAATGATTTTGAGGATGGCCCAGAAAACAAAAATCCTCACCACCAGTGTTATGTTCTGTTAGTGCATAGGGTCGCTATGAGTTGGTACCAGCTTGATAGCACCTAATAACAACAACAACAACAAAAAATTTTTTTTTCCGAGACAGTAACTTTCCAAGTCTTTTATGACACCCATTTTGGTCTTTTTTTTCTTTCCTGTCTTTTTAATGACTTTGTTTTCTTTCTATATGATGTTCTTGATGTCATCCGACATCTCTTTGGTTATCAGTGTTTAGTGTGTCAAGTCTGTCCTTGAGATAGTCTGTAAATTCAGGTGGGATATCCTGAAGGTCATATTTTGGCTTTCCTGAACTTCATTTAATTTTCTTCAGCTTCAGCCTGAACTTGTTTATGAGCAGTTGATGGTTGGTTCCTTAGTTGGTCCCTGACCTTGTTTGGCTGATGATATTGAGCTTCTCCATCATCTCTTCACATAGATGTAGTCAATTTGATTTCTGTGTATCCCACCTGATGAGGTCCACATTGAATTTTGCAAGATTCTAATCATTGGATCTCAGCATAATTTCTATCACCAAAGCCATTTTTCTAAATACTAATCCCTATTTAAGGAGCTCTGGTAGTGTAGTGGTTATGAATTGGGCTGCTAATCTTATGGTCAGCAGTTCAAAACTACCACCTGTTCCGCGGGAGAAAGATGAGGCATTCTGCTCCCGTAAATATTTATAGCCTCAGAAACCCTATGCAGGGTGGCTATGAGTCGGAACCGACTCCACGGCACATAACAGCCACAACAACAATCCCTATTTATTTCCAACTTTTCCAATCCAACCACCAGTAATTATCAATGCATCTTAATTGCATATTTGCTCAATTTCAGACTGAAGAAGTTGGTAGAAGTCTTCAGTTTCTTCATCACTGGCTTTAGTGGTTGGTGCATAAATTTGAATACCAGTTGTATTAAGTATGTATATTTTCCTATCATAGATAGCATCATATTTCAAGATCTCAAAATGCTCTTTTGATGATTAATTTGACACCATTCCTCTTGAATTTCCCATTCCTGGCATAGCAAACCATATAATTGTCCAATTCAAAAGGGCCAATGCCCTTTCATTTCACCTCACTAATATAATACTTAGGATATCAATCTTTATGTGTTTCATTTAATTTTTGTTGACTTTGAGTTTTCCTAGTTTAATATTTCAATTATTAACTGATTTTGCAGCTGTTTCTTCTCATTTTGGATCATGCCCCATCAGCAAATGAAAGTCCCTATAGCTTCGCTCTACCACATCATTAAGATTGAGTCTATTTTGAGTAAGTCGTTCTTCTTCAGTTGTATGTTGAGTGCTTTCCAACCCGAGGAGCTCATCTTCTCGCACTGTATCAGACAATGGTTCAAAGCTGTCAAAAATTTTAGGGGCTAATCCCTCAGAAGGGTACCACCTATTCATTGTTCCTAATCTGGAAGCTCTGCTGTAACTTGTCTGCCATGGGTAACCCTGGTGGTTTTGAAATACCGATGACATAGTTTCTAGCATCATAGCAGCAGACAAACCATCAGAGAGTGACAAACTGACAGACATGTAGGGATATCTATAATTCCACCAACAGTCTCTTGAAGCAAACTAACCTTTTACTATTGGGTAATTTATATGATTCCAGCAGCATTGCCTAATTCCAAAACTGCTTCTACATTTTAGGTATCTGTTAGAGCGGCACTCAACTCCCAGTACCAAATGCTGTCTTAGTTGTACAGTGCTGCTGTAATGGAAATATCACAAGGGGATGTCTTTAGCAAATAGAACTGTATTCTCTCACAGTTAGGAGGCTGTAAGTTCAAACTCAGGACATCAGTTCTAGGGGACACCTTTCTTTTTCTGTTGACTATGGGGGAAGCTCTTTGTTATCAATCTTCCCCTGGGTCTAGAAGTTTCTCAGAGCAGAGACCCCAAATTCAAAGGGCAGGCTCTCCTCCTAGATCTTCTTTCTTGATGGTACTTAGGTGTCTCCCTCTTTGCTTATTTTTCTCTCTTTTGATTTCTTGTAAGATAAAAGGTGATACAGGTCACAACCCAGGGAAACTCCCTTTATATTAGATCAGAGCTGTGACCTGAGTAAGATTACATCCGATCCTAATCCCTTATCAATTATTGCCTTATGATGCCATGGGAAATGATTACATCATTACATAACTGCCAAATCCCTGAGAATCATGGTCTAGTCAAGTTGACAATCCAGTATGACCTATAGATTCAACCCAATTCATATTAAAAACCCTAGTTGCCTTTTTTGTTTTTTTTTTTAATAGAAATTGAAGAGATGACCAAAATTCATATGGAAATGTAAGGGACCCAGAATAGCCAAAAAAATATTGAAAAAGAAGAATAAAGTTGGACTCAAACTTACCGATTCCAAAACTATTTAAAAAAGCTACAATAGTCAAGATTGTGGGGTACCAACAAAGGACAGACTTACAGATCAAAGGAATAGAATTTGTAGTTCAGAAATTAACCCTTATATTTATAGTTAATTGATTTTTAACAAGGATACCAAGACTATTTAATGGAGAAAGAATAGTTTTTCTGTAAATGGTTCTGGCACAAACTGGATACCCCCATGCAAAAGAATGAAGATAGACCCCTATTTTATACCATGTATAACAGTAATCTAAAATGGATCATAGATCTAACTAAAAGAGCTAAAACTATAAAACTCTTTAAAGAAAGCAAAATGTAAATGTTTGTGACCCTGAAGTAGGCAATGGTTTTGTTGCTATGACAACAAATGCAAAAGTGACAAAAGAAAATTACATCACCAAAAGTATAAACTTCTGTGCAAAGTAGTGATGTCTGTACAACATGATGAATGTAATTCATGTTAAAGAACTGTACATGTAAAAAATGAGGAAGTGGCAGAGGTTTATGTATATATATTTTTTCCACAGTAAAAAATGAATAGCACTTTTTTGCATCAAAGGACACTATCAAGAGAGTGAAAAGTCAACACAAAAATATGAGAAGAAATTTGTAAATCATCTATTTGACAAGAGACTAGAATTCAGAGTATATATAAAGAATTTATGACTTTACAATAAAACACAAATAATCTAATATTTTAAAGTATATAACGGTTCAAAACTACTAGCCGCTCTGCAGGAGAAAGATGAGTCTTTCTACTCCTGTAAAGATTTACATCCTCGGAAACCCTGTACAGGGTTGCTATGGGTCGGAACCGACTCGACGGCACTTAACAACAACAACAACAAGGCTCTGAATAGGCGTTTCTCCAAAGAAGAGAAGTAAATTGCCAATGTTGTTAGATGGCAACTTAAATTTCACCTCTTCTTTGGTAGAAATAGAGGTGTTTTTCATACTACAGATTACAAACCATCAGTGGATCATGAACGCAGTTTCATGGTCTGCAGTTAGCTTTTTAATGAGGTCAAGTTAAATAGTTAAAAACCCAAATATGCTGCATTATTTCATGATAATTTGTTTCAGATGCATAATACATATACTGTATCACAACATGAGATGTACTTCTTACTGTGATCACAATTATATTATTTTGAAAAACACCAGTTTGATGGTAAGAGAGGTTATGATTATAGGAAAAGTTGCTCTTAAGATAGAAAAAATAAATATTATTGATTGGAAGCTGATTATAGCAATGAAAAATGTGATTGTTTTTCTTCCATCCAGACACTTAAGTGATAGCGTAAGAGGTTCATCTTTTCAAATTCCTGAAGCTTCTTCCCGGATATTACGACTCTCTATAGCTAAAGGCACAGATCCAGGCTATCATCCTCCAAAAAAAGTAAGTGGACCTATGTGAAAGAAACAGATCCTGATCCACTTTGTAACACACTACCCTTTTAGTTCTAGGTGTATATGTTCCCTTTCTTTCATGTTTATTTTCTCCTGTCATCAAATGGTGAATTTTTATGACTACCTCTCTAAGACCTAATGTATCAGTTAGGATTTGACTAGAGAAGCAGAATTACTATGAGTGATATACAAAGCGGATTTATTATAGGAACTAGACATTAAGCAATTGTAGGAACTAGTGGAGCAGTCTACAGAAGGCTCTTACCATGGCTGGACCTTTGGTTTGATATAGTTATAGTAGCAATAAGAGTATGGAGTCCTAGTGTGGTGCTGTGGGTTAATGCGCTGGATTACAAGGTCAGTTTGAACCACAAGGTCCGTCGTTCAAACTCAGCAACCACTCCTTGGAAACCCTATGCAGGGTCACTTTGAGTTGGAACTGACTCGACAGCACTTAACAACAACAGCATCAATGGGTAGATTCTGGAGTTCTGGTGGGATGCTGTAGGAAAAGCACTGCACTACTAGCCACAAGACTGGCAATTCAAACCCACCAGCTGCTCCTTGGAAGCCCTAAACAGGATAATTTTGAATTGGAACGGACTCAGCGGATGGATGGCACTTCCCAACAAGAGTAGATTCTCAGGAGAATCAGCAGTTCTCGGACAGACCTTTAAGGGAAGGCTGGTCGATTTCTTCAGGCAAAGGCAACAACTGCTTTGTCATCCACAGCTTTGCTTTCTGTTTTGTCACTGCTTGCCAAGGAATATGAGTGTTTTTTTTTTGAAACCACCTGCAATAGGATCATCTGATAATTGAGACATGGGAGGAAGGACAGATTCTAATGGTAAGGAAGGCTGAGCAGTATTTAAAGGGTTAAGGTCTCCAGCTTCATTGCAATCTACCCATATGCCCTCATTCCAGTTTTTAAGGTCCTACGGACATATTGTCAGGAAGTCACTGGAGAAGGATATCATGTTTGGTAGGGTAGAGGGTCAGAGAAAAAGAGGAGTCCTGGTGTGGCACTGTGGGTTAATGTGCCAGACTTCAAAGCCGTTTGAACTTCAAGGTCGGCGGTTCAAGCTCACCAGCTGCTCCTGGGAAACCCTATACAGAGTCACTATGAGTTGGAACTGACTCGATGGCACTTAAAAACAACAATGGACATATTGTCAGGAGGGTCCAGTCTCTGGAGAAGGATATCATTACCTTTGGTAAGGTAGAGGGTCAGAGAAAAAGAGGAAGACCCCCAATGAGATGAATTGGCCAAGTGGCAGCATCAATGGACTCAAGTGTGGCAACAGTGGTGAGGTTGGCCCAGAATCAGGCAGTGTTTCGTTCTGCTGTACATAAGGTCGCTATAGGTCCGTACTGACTCGATGGCACCTAACAACAACAACTCCTTTCCAATCATTACTCTAACTTTAACAGAAGAGACCAGACACATTTAAAATTCAATTTGCATTGTAATTCACCCGCTCACAGAATTAGATTTTGAGTTTGGTTTTTCATAATTTTCAGCCTTGTGGCTATCTATAAAAGATAGAGTTTCTTTCAGGACATTCTTTAGAAGCTTTTGGATTCCTTACCTTGACCATAAGGTTGTTGTTGTTAAGTGCTGTTAAGCCAGTTCTGACTCATAGCAACCCTGTATAGGGTTTCCGAGCAGTGGTTAGGGAACTTGAACTGCCAACCTGGTAATTCAAACCTACCTTGCAGTCTAGCGCATTAACCCACAACACCACACTCCTGACCTTAAGGTTGTTGTGTTATTGTTAAGTACTGTGGAGCCAGTTCCGACTCATAGTGACCCTGCACAGGGTTTCCGAGGCTGTAAATCTTTATGGGAGCAGAACGCCTTATCTTTCTCCTGTGGAACAGCTGGTAGTTTCAAATTGCTGACCTTCAGGTTGGCAGCCCAACTTGTAAACACTACACTACCATTGCTTAAGGTAGGACTTTAAAATCCTGAATTGATCATTTCCCTTAAGTTCAGCCTTAAGGAAGGTGTTGCAGCCACTGCACCAACTTATCATCATCTTGTCTTCTTCTTTTTCACTGAACTTCACTTTACCAAGTACGATGTCCTTCTCTAGGGACTGGTCTTTCCTGATTGTTGTTGTTGTTAAGTGCCTTCGAGTTGGTTCCGACCCATAGCGACCCTGTACAGGGTTTCCGAGGGTGTAAATCCTTACGGGAGTAGAAAGCCTCATCTTTCTCCCGCGGAGCGGCTGGTGGTTTCGAACTGCTGACCTTAAGGTTCGCAGCCCAATTCGTAACCACTACGCTACCAGAGCTCCTTGTCTTTCCTGATAACACTCCCAAAATATGTGAAACAAAATCTCACAATATTCACTTCTAAGAGTATTCTGGATGTACTTCTTCCAAGATAGATTTATTTGTTTTTCTGGGAGTCCATGGTATTTTCAGTATTCTTTGCCAACACCATAATTGAAAAGGCATAAATTCTTCCTCAGTCTTCCTTAGTCATCATCCAGCTTTGCATGCATATGAGGCCATTGAAAATGCCTTGGCTTGGGTCAGGTGTACCTTAGTTTTCAAAGTGACACTTGGCTATTGAACACTAAAGAGGTCTTTTGCAACAGATTTGCCCAGTACAATATATTGTTTGATTTCTTGACTGCTGCTTCCATGGGTGTTGATTGTGAATCCAAGTAAAATGAAATCCTTGACAACATCAGTATTTTCTCCATTTGCTTTTAGGTCCAGTTTTGAGAATTTTTGTTTATTTTATTTTGAGGTGCAATCCATACTGAAAGCTGTATTATTTGATCTCCATCAGTAAGTGCTTTAAGTTCTCTTCATTTTTCTCTAGTAAGGTTGTGTCATCCTAGTATCATGGGTTGTTAATGAGTCTTCCTCAAAATCTTCATATAGTCCAATTTCTTCAGTTAATTGCTCAACACAGATAGGATAAATATGGTGAGAGCATACAACCTTGACACACATATTTTCTGATTAAATGAAATGATTTATGTTTGGGGGTTTACTATAACTTGGTTTTGCCAATGCCTTCACTACCATAGGTTCTTGATCATGTGCCTTGATCATGTACCTCCTGGTGTGGCCCTGTAGGATCAGCACTGGACTGTGAACCACAAGTTCAGCAATTCAAACCCACCATCTGCTCCTTGGGAACCCTATACAGGGTCACTATGAGTCGGCATAGACTCGATAGCACTTAACAATGACAGCAACAAAAAGGTTGAATATCAACCAGTTCTTTTTGGTACAATGACTGAGTATTCCTTCCATCATATTTCCAGGCTTCTAGTGTAGTTCAGTTTTTGCCCATAGAATCTTTCAATATTGCAATTGAAGGCTTGGATTTTTTTCTCCAGTTCTGTGAGCTTGAGAAATGCTGAGCATGTTCTTCCCTTTTGGTTTTCTAACTCCAGGTCTTTGCACATTTCATCATACAAGTATCCTCTACTTTTTCAAAGTTTGGCTACACACCACTTCGCTTTTATGAAAGACCTACCTTAGTACCTGGTTTTGCTAATCACAAGAAATTCAGAGATGATTTCTGCTTTTATGATAAAAGGCAAAATGAGAAACTGATGTTCAGTGTTTGTTTCGCATGAGTCATTAAAGAGATAATTTCCATCCAAGCAATAAGAGTGGTATTGTCAAGCTTCTTCCCTGCCAACTACATTCAACATCTCAGCGTCAGTCTACCATAATTTTCAACGATGCCTGTGAATGCTACATATTATATATTTTTTATGTCTTATTTGGTATTATTTAGTATATTAATTTGGGGGTTTGGGAAGGCTCAAAAAATTTTCCCATGTAAATGAGTGGGAGTACCTTCTTTGCTTTATGTAATTTTAGCTTACGAAAGGTTTCCTAGGAATGCTGTGCATTTGGATAGTGGGGAAACCTATTATACTTTCCTTTGTCTTTTGGAGCCACCCTTTGAAATCATCCGTTCAGCTCTTTTACTTCATAACTTCTTTCACTCGTTTTGAAAAATGCTCAAGAGTGAGTTTCGGGGTTTCTTATGACATCCATTTTGATCTTTTCTTTCTTTCCTGTTTTTTTAATGACCTTTTGCTCTCTTCATGTATGATGTCCTTGATGTCATCCCACAGTTTTACAACCCATCTGGTCTTTGCATATCAAAGACACTTTAAAAAAAAAAAAAAACAACTGTGTCTTTTTTTTTTACTACTAGCACGAGGATCATTAATACTTTAAAATTTTATCACCTTAGAAAACAATTTCCAGATAACCTAGAAGAGAGACACAGAATCTATCCTTAATGTTTTAATTTGGTTATCTGGGGCTGCATACCAAATCACCCCCACACTTAATGTTGTGCAAATACTGTCATTTTATTATGCTTAAGGAATCTCAGATGTCCTGGTAGGCGAACAGGAATAGCTTGTTTCAGCTCCATAATGTCTTCAACCTCAGTTGGGAAATCTCTAATGGCTGGGGTGGAATCTCAAATGGTGGAGGGCTAGAATCATCTGGAGGCTTCTTCATGCCAATGTCTGGTGCCTAGGCTAGGATGGCTTGTGGGCTGGCCTCAAATGGGATTATTTATCTGCAAGAATACTTCATGTGGCCTTCCCATATGGCTTGGACCTCTCTCAGCATGGTAGTTGTACTCTAAGATTTAGTCTTGGAAGTCTCATAATGTCATGCAGTCATACTTTGTTGATTGAGGCAGTTACAAGTTTGGACTAGATTCAAGGGGGTAGGGACACTAACCCTATCTCTCAACGAGAGAAGTATCAAAGAATTTATAGCCACTTTTTAAAAATGGACACACCCAATGATGTGAGTCTTTTGGTATCCTTCAGCATTGCTTTTGTAAGCAGAAAAGACTATTCAGAGGTATATTGTTGTTTTAAATAATGAATAATCAAGTTTCAAAGTTATGGATTTTAAAGTCTACCTTTTCTTAGGCTTTTAAGTTCAGCTTGTAAGTTTTCTTACTTTATCATTCTAGCAGTTTTT